GCATCCCTCAACTCTATTTTCGTACTTCTATATGCAAATGTATGCTCCATACATCCAGGCATAAATATACCTGTGCTGTCCAGTATGTAGCTAATAGCAAGGTGGTTATTTAAATTTAAATTAATAAAATTTTAAAAATCAGTTCCTCCATTGTCTTAGCCATATTCCAAGTACTCAGTAGTCATCATTGCAGAGCTCTGTTGGGTGTTTCAATTATTTTAATGTTGTTTTTTAAATTTGGTATTATATTGTTGACACGCACCTAACTGATATATAGAGAAGTCTGGTGTATTCCTTTAAACTGGACATAGAATATTTTATGAATATACCACATCATTATTATTTTTTAAAACCAATTTCTCCCCACTTGTATATTGGAGTTGTTTTTATTTTTCTACTAGTTGCCCAGTGCACAAATTTTGTGCATGGGGGGGTGGGTATCCCTCAGTCTGGCCTGCACCCTCTTCAATCTGGGATCCCTTGGGGGATGTCTGACTGCCCATTTAGGCCCGATCCCACACCAGCAGTTGGACATCCCTCTCTCAATCTGGGACCACTGGCTCCCAACTGCTCAGCTGCCTGCCTGCCTGATCACCCCTAATCACTCTGCTTGCTGGCCAGTTCACCCCAACTTCCCCCACCTGCTTGCCTGCTCACCCCCAAATGTCCCCCCATCCCCTCCTCGTTGGCCTACTTGTCCTCAACTGCCCCTCCTGCCAGTCTGCTCATTTCCAGTGGACCTCCTTGCCAGCCTGATTGCTCCCAACTGCCCTCCCCTGATGGCCTGATTGCCCCTAACCACCTCTGCTTCAGTGCTGCCACCATAGCTTCATCTGGAAGGATGTGTGGAAGGTCTCCTGGTCTAATTAGCAATATTACCCTTTTAATAGTATAATAGTGGCCCGGTGCACAAAATTTGTGCACATTAAAAGGAGATCAATTAGAGGAAATATTTTAATGTTGTTATTTGCCCTTTCTTTATAATAGACATGTCAGAGATGAAAGAAAATTAGTAAAATGTATATGAAAATCTTCCTCCTGCCAGAGTCTGGGGCATGCTGCAGGACCCAGAGTCAAATCGCCACATACCCATGGTGCCTCAAAATTGCGTGAGACCCAGACCCAGCTGGCCCCAACCCCATTAGGTGAGATCTAGACCCAGCTGGCCCCACCCTTGTCAAGCCTCACTAGGCAGGGCTGCAGCCTCAGGTCCCCCATCAAGCCCCGCCAGGTGGGGGGGGCGTGGCCTCAGGGCTCCTCTCAAGCCCCGCTGGGCAGAGGGCACAGCCTGAGGTCGTCTGGCCCAGCGCTGATGTTGGGGACATGGCCTGAGGTCCCCCGTCAAGCCTGCCGGGCGGGGATAGGGTCTGAGATCCCCTGTCAAGCCCCACCAAGCCTGAGGTCCCCCAGACTGGGCTGGGGTGGGGGGCATGCCTTGAGGTCTTCTGTCAAGCCCCACCGGGTGGTGGTTGCGGCCTGAGATCCCCCATCAAACCCTGCCGGGCAGGGGGCACAGCCTCAGGTCCCTCATCAAACCCTGATGAGAGGGGGGCACAACCTCAGGTTCTCTAGATCCAGGTTGGGGGCTGTAGCCTGGTCCAGGGTGGGGGGAGCAGCCTCAGGTCCCCCAACCCAGCACAGGGGCAGAGGGTTCACCTTGAGATCCCCCGAGTTCCACCAAGCAGGGGGTGCAGCCTCAGGTTTCCCGGCCCAGCACTGGGTGGGGGGCATAGTCTCAGGTCTTCCAGTGCTGAGGTGGAGGGTGCAGTACCAGGGTGCAGGACACATTTTAAGGTCCCCTGTCAAGCCCCACCAGGCTGGGGGCACAGGCTCAGGTCTCCTGCCCTGGCCCAGTGCTACACAGCCTCAGGTCCCTGCTGGCTGCTCCTTAAGGCTCAGTAAGGGAACTCAGCCTCTGCTGTGGGTGCAGCCATCTTTGTGATGGTGTGATGGTCAATTTGCATATTCCTTCTTTATTAGATAGGATAGATTTTAAACAATGCTTCAATGAACATCTTTCTGTAGTATAAGTTTCCTAAAGTGAAAATGCTCTATCATAAGCTATTCATGTTTTCAATATTTCTAGATATTGCCAAAATACTCTCCAAAGTGGTTGTATCAACTTCACATATATGATTAGTATATTAAAATTTTTTCCCCCCATATCCTTGCCAATACCTGACATTATTAGTTTTTGCCAATGGGTTAGGTAAAAATGGAATTTTATTAAAATCTCATTTTTTAAATTTTTGATTACTGATGTGGTTTAAACATTGTCACATAGTCACTGACTACTACTTTTCGTTGTTGTTGTTTATTGCCTATTCATATACTTTGTCTATTTTCCTATGGGATTTTTGCCTTTTTTCTTAATCATATTAAAACTTGCTTTTATTCTATTATTCCACCCTCTCTAATACATATACAATATATACAAATAAGTATATATATGTATATGATTTTATGTCTATGGATTTATATGTAAATCTATATAGATAGACATCTATGTAGAGATATTCTGAATCACTTGAAAATAAATTACAGATCTCATAACATAAATGCTTTAGTATACAATTCTCAAGATTAAGAATGCTATCACATCTCTTTAAGATTGAGGACTGCATTTGTTATCATGTCTCCTAGGTCTCTTCAATCTGGAAGAATTCCTTTCTTTTAAAAATTACAATGGCTCATTTAAACAATCCAGGCCAGGTTTCGTGAAAATATACCACATTCTGGGTTTATCTGCCTTATTCCTCATGTTTAACTTGTTCTAATATCCCCTACATATCTTTTAAATTTGTGCTTACATCTATAGATCAGGGCTTAGAAACTCCGGCACTATTGACATTTGGGACCAGATAATTAATTGTTGTGGAGAGGCTGTCCTGTGGGTTTTTAAATGTTTAGCAGCATCCTCAGCCTCTACTCATTAGATGCAGTAACAACGCTCTCCATGCCCCTTCCCTGCCTGCTCTCCTCTCCCATTATGACAAAAATGTCTCCAGACATTGTCAAAGTGCTCAAGGGGTTAAGGAGATGGGGAGCAGGGTGGGGATCCACCCCCTGGTTGAGAACCACAGGCTAGAATAGGGGTGTTGAACTCAATCAGAGAAGGGGCCAAAATCTAAAATCCAGCCTAAATCGCGGGCTGAATGGTTTACTGAACAGTCATAAACTGTCATTGTGATGGAAACGCAGCGGAGTGCAGTGATGACAGCGCGGTGCGGGCCACATTGCAAGGCCTGGTGGGACGGATTTGGCCCGCGGGCCTTGTGTTTGACACATGTGGGCTAGAAGTTTGATGAAAATCAAGTTAAACAATTTTGGCAAGAATAGTTTTAGATGTTTATTCCTAATTGCATAACACCAGTAAACACATAATATAAGATTGTCCCATTATTAGCAATTCTAGCTTTGGTCACTTGTTTAAGCAGTGATTTTTTTTAAGGTACATTTTCTATTTTATAAGTAAGTTATGGCCTGACACTTTGAAACCATGTGAAGATTTTGTACCCATACAATCTTCCACCCAATGGTTTTTGCATTCTCAGATGAACTTTGCCTGAATTATTTGTGGTTGATTTGAAAAATAGTGATTTTCTAATCCTATTATTTGTTCATTTAATGTATAGTATTTCTCTAAAATTTTTTTTTTCATTTTTCCTGATTTATTTTTAGTGGTGCTCTGAACTCATGCATGTTATCTAATTTTTTATTCAATTATTGTAATTACTATATATATTTTTTGATGCTCATATTGCCCCAACTTTCTCCAGTGGAAATCCTCAACCCATTCTTTAAAACGGATCGTAAAGCAAGACAATTAATTGTTGTGTGGAGCTTTTAAAGTAATTGTAAGCATCACACAGTGGTAACTTCTTACTGTATTACCCTGCACATGTGAACCAAAGTGTAAAGGCTTCACATTTTAACCAGTGAAGAATTCTGATGATTTGAACAACCTATCATTTTCATAATTAACAAGTTACATTAAGATTCAACAACCAATAAAAATTAGCAATTTAATTTTGAGTCATCTATTTACTTCACAATTATAATCTTTTCCTGACTCCTAGATATGATGACTAGTGCCTATACATGGAAATATACTTTGTGATACATATACATATGTATATATATATATACATATATATATATATATATATACATATATATATATATCCTTGTGTATATACATTGTATATATACTACAGCAAATTGTAGGGAATAGGATAGGGTGACTTCTGTTCCTAAAAGTGCTTGGGAACATATTACTATAGCATTAAAGCTCAAGAAAGCATAGAGACTTTAGAACTAAGACTTTTGGGAAGCCGAAACGGCATAATCCAGTTAAAATGAGAAAAATGTTTATTAAGGATTTAGCTCCACCCGGGTAATTATCCCTTTCCTCCCGTCCCAGGAGCGGCTCTGACCTGATCGGCTGCCTGCTCTGAATCTGTCCGCCTCGGTGTTGGGACTTTTAAGTTCATAACAGTCTCACCCTGCAACTTGGCAGCTGCGGCCAGCGCCACTAGAATTGCTTTCCCGGGTCCCTCAGAGGTGACTGCGGAGGGTGCGGCTCCCGGGGCAGCGTGCCTCCTGATTGGCTGGCGCGGGCCTCGGCCGCCCAATCACACCAGCGTGTCTACCACGCCGCAACGTGCCTCCGCCGCCGCGCATGCCCATTCTGGGACCAGCGCTTGCGCTTCAGCGCGCGGAGAGCCGAGGGCACCGGCTGATGGGTGGCGGGAGCCACGTCGGGGTGTGCCCGCGTCGACGTCACCGGGCCGCGCTGGAGCCCGGGCAGGCCCAGTGGGAGAGCGACCAGAAAACCCAGCACTGACCCAACTGTCTGGTTCTCCCCACGTCCCTTACGTGCAAGATTTCTTGGGTGGACCACTCACTTTCGTGGTGGAATCCGACCCGGCCAATCCGATTTCCCCGAGGGGACTGCGTTCTTTCTGTGCGTCCAGGGCAGACAGGAGCGGGGTGAAAGGAACGAGTCTGTAGAAGAAAGTAAACTTTTCTCCCCATTCAGAGTGGGCTTTGAGTCTTCCTGCACCAAACACGGCCCGCTAAGAGCCGCCCTGGAAATGATCCCTCGCAACCGCCCCGTCCTGCCCTCCCGGCGCTGACCATCGGTCGGCGCTGGCATCCCGGAGGTCACTCTCTGCTCCCCAACTAGGTCCCGAGGCGTGCAACTCCGGAAAGCAGCCCGCACCGGACCCCGGGCGGCTCGGCGGAGAGGCAGAGCCTCGTGGTCCCGGCTGACCAACCGGCTCCCCGGCCGCAGCCCGGCGCTGGCGGGTCGCCGCCCCGGCGCGCAGGCCCCGGCCCCGCGCGGCCGCTCGGAAAACGCGGCGGGCGGAACCCGCACGCGGAAGCGCCGGCCGCACTGAGCATGCCCAGTTGCAGGGCCGACCAGAGGAGTTTTCTTTCTTTTTCTTTTCTTTCTTTCTTCTTTTCCTTTTTTTAAAATTGTTAAGTAGGAGGCCGTCCCCGCACCCCCACCGCAGCCTCCCCAGCTCCCCAGGCCTAAGCAGCTGCCATGGCCGAGGTCCCCGGCGCGGCGCTGTCCCAGGCGGGTTGGTAAGTGTGAGTCCCGCCGGCCGCGGCCGCGGGCGCGGAGCGGGGCCCCCGGGCGGGTCGGCGCTGGGGGCGGCGGGGTGCGCGGTGGGGGAGGCGGAGGCCGCCGCCCGCCCCCCGGCCTCTCCCGGGGATCCTCCGGGCCGGCCCCGCCCCCGACGCCACGCGGAACCGACCGGGTCCCCCTGCTCCGCTCGGAGCGGCGGCGCGGCCTGGGCCCGGGGCGGCGGGCGGCGGACGGGGGAGCGGGGCGCGGGCGGCGGCCAGGCCGCGGGGAGCACCTGCAGCTCCTCGCGCCTGACTCGGGGCGCAGGGCGGGGGCCGGGGGGCCGGGGGGCCGGGGAGCCCGGGAGCCGGGGGCGGCGGCGGGAAGTTGCGGGCAGAGAGCGCGCAGCCCCTGCTTCCTCCTCCTTCCCAAGGGCTGAGTCCCCGTCACACCCGCAACTTCCGAAGCCGAATAGCCCCGCGTGGTCCGTGCCTGCGGGCGCCCCGTACAACTTTCTTTTTTCTTTTTTCTTTTTTTTTTTTTTGAAGGGATGGAGGTGTTCTGATATTCATGCTAAGATTTTTTATAATAGGATCTGAAACCAGTAACATGTTATACTATGAAAGTAAGCAGCTTCTGGAACTGTGGCCATTACAGCTGTGAACAGAGAGTTAAGTTCAGCAAAGCGTTCCCAGGCCTGCACAGGCACAGAGTGAGGGGAGGAGGGTGGAGGAGACTTGCCCCTGCTCCCTAGTAGTTCACAGTCTTCCCGGAAAGAGGAGAGGGTGGCCTTAAAAAGGACAGGCACAAAATCGGGAAAGAGTGGTTCATTGTGTCAGGGAGCAGGCATATGTACAGTGGATTTGGAGTGGGGCAAGGAGAGTTAGTTTCCTAGAGAAGTGGCCTTTGAAAGAGGGTGGGGAGAAGGCTTTTTCGGACACAGAGACGCCGGAGAGGAGGCACAGAGGGAAGAGAGTGCTTTTGGGTTTGCAGATTCGTCTGCGTCCATGGACGTAGAGGATGTCCAGGGAGGATTCAGACCAGAAAGTTGGGAGCCAGGCTGTGGAGGCTACAAGTTGAGTGGAAGATGTGGATTTGATATGGTGAATGACGTTTTTGGAGTGGAGTAACATAACAGCTTGTTTTGAAGAAGTTGCTCCTGGCTCTACAGCCACCCCTGTCTTACGGGTGGAGGCTGAGGCACAGAACTGTTAAGTAACTTTCCAAATGTGACCAAGCTAGGCAGCGGTAGAGGTGAGTGGTGATTGTAGAAGGGCCACTTCCAGATATGGTGCATTTAACTATTTAATATTATGTGTGATTGTCCCTACAGTTTTTGTGTAGAGCAACCATTAGCATAACAAACTCTACTCATTTAGTTTAATTTTTGTTCTTTGAAGTGAAATCTCTTCATTCAGTTCCTTTAACCGACAGTGTTGTCTTGGATAATCTTGGATCATTCTTCCATTTGAGTTCCCCTTTTTTCCTTAGATTGAGCCTTAATTCTTCAAACTAGTTTTATGATTTAATGACAAACTTGGTCTTCTACTGCTTTCCAGCGTGACCTCACCTTCTTTTTGGTTCCACACACATACTATAGTCTTCTTAAGACTGGGGAACTACATCTTATTTTTCTGTGTATCTGTAGTGCCAGAGAGCCAGCACATTACATTTTGGGTTCTCAAAGTCTGATACAATTGACCTTGGAATGCCCCTGCCAATTTCCTAACCAAGTTTCTCATTTGTTACTTTGTTATAAAATCCCCAGCAATGTTGTAGTGTAGCATGTACCACTTTGTATTACAAATTATCTGTTTACATGTTTTACTTCCTCCAAATTGTGTTGCTTTTGACTTTGACTCATAAAAAGGAGTAATATGTGGTCTGATAAAATTACTTACCTTTCTAGGAGTTGGGAGTATCGTAATTTCTGATAGGTCTTTTTAAAAAACTTATTGATGAGAGAGACGGAGAAAGAGAAAGAAACAGAAACATTGATTTCTCGTTTCACTTATTTATGCATTCATTGGTTGATTCTTGTATGTACCTTGACCATGAATTGAACCTGCAACCTTGGCTTATGGAAATGACACTAATTGAGCTTCCAGGCCAGGGCCTTTGATGGGTCTTGAACACACCAAACTTGTTCCAAAGAAGATCAGGACCTCCTAAACTTTCAGTGTCCTGTGTTGTAGAATTGATATTTCAATAGAGACTTACTATGGTAAGATTCAGCATCTCAAAGGGTTAGGCAGAGAAGAGCACTGGAAGGAGGATTTCTGACCATAGGCAGCTTTGACCAACTAATTTCCAGTTCTGACGTGCTAAGTTTCATCTCACTCTTGGAATGCTCTGTTATTGTCACTCACAAATCATTTTTCTTTGTACTCAGCATATTCATTTAAGTACTTGTAGGACCTGAAAAGAAATTGATGCTAAAACACCTAAATTGATGCTAAAACACCTAAACTATTATTAAATCTGTTTTTATCATTTTCACTTAAAATAGTAGTTTAGGGAATTATGGTGAGAGAGAAGCATTGATCAGCTGCCTCCTGCACACCTCCTATTGGGGATGTGCCTGCAACCAAAGTACATGCCCTTGCTGGAATCGAACCTGGGACTTTCAGTCTGCAGACTGACGCTCTATCCACTGAGCCAAACTGGTTAGGGCTATTTCTTGTTTCTTTAATGGGCATTTGTAACTATCTCCTTGGTTTTTATTATTTGTGAAATTATAATGTTCAATTGCAATAAGACTTCTTGACCTTCTGTCTCAAAATGTGTTTATATATATATAGTGCCTGGTTGCTTCTATAGATATTGTAAACTGCTAAAAATGACTGGATATTATATTAAACTGTGCAAGTTTTCAGGTTTTAAGGTGCTGTTTGCAGTGATTTTTTTGTTGAATAACCTATAAATCTAGTTTCAACTGCCTGTACACTTCACTGCCTCCAGCATAAAAGGGATATAAAAAGAAACTTGCTGCCTCAGCAAGTTGAAATAATTTTCTCCTCTCACACAGTAGCATTTGCTAAATCAAGTAAAAATTGCATAGTAACGTTTCAAGAATCAAAAATACAATTATATTACTTTTTGGCTTATGTTTTCTCTCTCTCTCTCTTTACTTATCATGTTATAGTTAAGTTTCATCTCTCTAGAAATTCTGACCTTTTGAAAGGTGTAGGATATGGAAGTATTCCCAGCAATACAGACATTTTTATGTGAAATTGAGAAACATTTGTGAAATCATAGAATGACAAAACAAAACAAAACAAAACAAAACTAAAAATAGAGAATGTGGTAATGTGGTGGGGGTAAAAATGTGTTTTGATAATGTAAAGTATTGACAAGGGTGTCAAATCAAAGATAATGGTGGCAGAAAAGAAGCACATGGGTAATGTGGAGAATCAGAAAGAACCACCTTGTTCTATAGAGCTGGACAGAGCCTCTATGAACCTTAGTAGTGTACAAGTAACTGTAACATCTGCTCAGTGCGTCTGAGTCTGTGCACATGTGAGTGCTTCTCACACATATTACAGTTGTACAGTCTTTAAAGTAGAGATAAATAGCTATCTTTCATCTTTCATCTTGTTGGGTACATCATATTACCCAAGAAGACATCTTGTGACAGGTGATTTCTTTAATATAGTGTTACTGAAAGTATAATAATCTGCAACAGTAGTCAGTTATAATGCAGTATTGTCTGTATTGAAATGCACATAGTAAATACATATTCTTCTTTTGCACAAAGCACTCTGGTTTTTGTTGGGATGGTGTACAAGACAGGCAGAATTTAAACATGTTATACACTGATATTTTTCTTACGGCGTGTCGGTGAAAGTAGTTAACTCACTCTTAGGAAGTTGGAAAGGTTTTCTAGAACGAATGTAAAAACAGAGTATGTTGAATATACCATCTGATAATAGGGTATGTTGTCTTTGTCTTGGGAAAACAATAGATTCATTAATGTACTTATTCAACAAATAATTATTGAACATTTTGTTGTGGCAGGCTGTTTCTACAGTACAATAGGATGTAGTCTTATGGGGAAGAAGGAGAACGGACATTGTTTTCTAAGAAATTATAAAAAAGGGAAATTTATTAACTGGTGAATATAATAGAATCAGAAGTATGGAAGGGGAGTGGACTGATGATGATTCTCGGGGAAAAGGGGAGTGGGGGGTGTGGGAAGAGACTGAACATAAACTGTGCACCTATGGATGAGGACAATGGGGGGTGGGGAAAGGGCAGAGGGTGGGGTGGGAACCTGGTGGAGGGGAGCAATGGAGGGGGAAAAAATGAGGAACATTTGCAATAATAAGAACAATAAAGATTTATTTAAAAAAGTTAAAAAGGAAATTTGATGTCTTCATGGTCAGAGAATATTCCCTGAGATATGGAAGATGAGTGGAAATTAACCTAAGTTAGGGGAAAGCCAAGGTCATGCAAAGGGGGTCTAAGATCTTAAGGTCCGGGATGGAAGGAGGTCAGTATAGAAAAGGAGTATAATGAGATGGGGCTGGGAGATTCTCAGGAGCTAGATCATGTAGCTCAAGCATCAAGAGACCATGGTAAGTTTTGTTTTTGTTCTTGAGGCAATGTAGAAGTTAGTTGAAAAGTTTTATCAGGGGAGGGTTGAAGTAGAGATGACATCATGGTGGAGTTTTGAAATAACTTCATATTGAAGAAAAAGGATTGGAAGTGAACAGGAGTAGATGGATGGAGTAGATGATGTTGCAATGGAGAGCATAAGGTTGAGTTGAGATATTTAGGAGGTAAATGGACAACTTTTTGTTGGATAGGATATGGAAATGAGAGAAAAGGAAGTGTCAAGGGGTTGATTTCTAGGTTTTTGGCTTGTATATATGAATTGGTTAAATGGAGACTGTTAGAAGAGGGCTTCATTTTTGAGGGAGGGATCATGAATTGAAGGTGGGCATTATTTGAGAATGAGATGCCTTTGAGTCATCTAAAATAAGATGCCAGTTAGGCATTGGGAAATACTAATCTT